TATGCTAGTTGTCTTTGTGATACTTGCGTAGATGACCTCGGGGGGTTCTCGAGGCACTAGGGTGTAAGACCTTGAAGGGTTTCCATAGCATCCTTATTCAATACCTCAAGGGTTCCCGACGAACTAGGGTGTAAGACCTTGGAGGGTTTCCATGGCATCTTTAGTCAAGACCTCGGGGGTTCCCGAGGCATTGGGCTAAGACCCTGGAGGGTTTCCAGGGCACCCAGTGTAAGACCCCAGAGGGTTTCCAGGGCACCCATTGTAAGACCCTAGAGGGTTTCCATGGCATCCTTATATGTTTGTATGTATGATTTATATGACAGTAGGCTAAGACCCTGGAGGGTTTCCAAGGCACCCGGAGTAAGACCCTTGAGGGTTTTTAGGGCATCCCTATTTGTTTAAATGCATGACTTGTGTAGTTGATATGAATTAGGTGATTATGTGTGTAAGACCTTGGAGGGTTTTCATGGTATCCTTATATGTAACTTATATGGCTTATGTGATTGATATGGTTTATGTGATTATATGGATTATGTGGGGTATGCTCTGGGGAACTCACTAAGCTTCATGATTACAGTTTTGTTTATGGTTTCAAGTATCATTCGATTTGAAAGGAAGGGCACAACTTGATCGCAGTGCACACATCCGTGTTTTCCGCATTATATGATTTTTGGATGAACTTTGATAAATGTTTTTAATTACAAATGCTTTTGGAATACTTGGATTTAAAAGATATTTGTGTTTTGATTGAAATAAAAATGAAATTTTTACCCTTGATTTTTTGGTCGTTACAAGATAAGGCCTAGGTGTTATAATGGACAATTTCCTAGGATAACGTAGTACCTAGAAGTAATGTTGGTCAAATATATGGATATGCATTGTACCTAATCATTACTCTGCCCAAATATCCTGTTTCCAAATAACCATAATTTGGATATATAATATCGCAAAATAAAATATATAAACATATGGTAACGTATCTCTCAGGAAAAACATTAAAGAAGAAAATTCAAACTAGTGCCAAGCTTGGCCTAGTTAAAGTATGATCATACCCAGTCTGAGGCCAAGGTCGGGCCTCTGCCCGCATGGACTCACTGGTATGGTGGTTAAGGGGTTGAACTATGCCTTACCATCTTCTTCCTTAGAAGAAATACCTCGGAAAACATGGAGACAATCAGAGAGCTCCACTTGTCTATCTGATGACAACCACAAACATCATTATATTAAAGATTCCCCTCTATCCAATGGGGCAACGAGATAGAAACACGTAATGGAGGATCCTTCAATACGGATCCGCTACATCTCATCTCACGAGGGAAGGCTCAACGGAATTAGTTAGGAGGCATGTGCCTCTCAATCATGTATAAAAGAACCCTTCTTCCCCATGGAGAAGGGGATTGTACTCATTTTCTCTCATACATTCTCTATCTTCTCTCAGAATCAATTCTAACTTGATCATCGGAGCTTCGTCCTGGGAACCAATGTTGAACATCGTTTAACAATCATCTCTTTTCTTTGTATTATGATATCAGGAGAAGGAACCATCTCAACGCCCACCCTTGATCTCAATCCTTCCATCTCCGACATATTACAACATTTGAAGCCATCTGGACGTATCTCCATAATGATACATCCACAAAGAAAAACCAAATAGCAAAGATGGCAGGCGAAATTCCGGTGACATCGGGGGAAGCTGAGAAAAGCCTGGTGCATCCAATGCAGCCGTTAGATGGAGGGCAAGTTTCCATCTAGGAAGAACACGCTTCAAATCGCACGCGAGTCTCACAGACACCATCCAGCTCCGCAGCTGAAACGACGGCAACCTACATAACCAATCTATGGTGTCCAACAGTTAACCCATCTCAGCAAGAAGCAATCATAACCACAACTCCATAGATTGTCGCAGCACAACAAACACAAATACCTGTTTCTCAACAACGATCGTTTCCACACAGTTCGGGCACTGAAACATGGATCCCCCACAATCTTCAACCGCAATCACAATATTCATCAGTGATCCTCCCACACACCACCATGGCAAGCATGCCCCACGTGTTGTTGTTCATATGAAAACCATTGGTGTTCAATCCGTTCGTATAACAGGCTTAAGGTCCAATCACAGAAGTGTCTCAGCTGCAAGTCGCAGGCGTGCAGACCTCGGTCAATGAGGGATCTAGCTCATATGGACCTGACATCCATTTCTCAGCAGCACCAGAATTCACCCCTTTCATGGCGACTGCTCAACCATTCAACCCGTCCACACAATAGTACACGGGAGCAAAACTATACATAGTTCACCCAACATGGCAATACATATTTCAGTAATTTAGGTCACAGACAAACTTTCAACAATATCAACTGTACATCTCGCCGACAACCATGTACAACCAGATGTACACGAACCCCTACCAGGCGCAGCAACATATGGCCTATGTGATGGGTTTTGAGCATTTTAACACTCCTAAGGTGTGCATGTAACCCTAAATACCTTGGATCTATGTTTTCTCTATTATACATGCAAACTTGAACTTTCCGAGGTATTACCCTAGCTAGCATACAAAACTTTGATACTTGGGTACTAAAACAAGTTAGATGACATACCTTTTGTTGTAGTTGGAAGCCATGGACCTTTAAGAACTTAGTGCCCTAACTGTTGCACCTCAAATGGAATCACACAACACCACCAACAATAGAGGAACTTGAGAGGAGGTCACTTGCACTCATAGAATTGCTAGCCCTCTTGTGTTTCCACCAGTGCCAATTTCATAAGCTAGAGGGGTTCTTACATAGTGTGGCAAACTAGGGTTACACCATGTAAACCCTAATGACTTTCCACATCCCTCATGCTCCATGGGATAAAACCTTCATGGAGTATCCATGGGTTACCACATGGGTTTAGCCCAACATGAAGAACTATGGATCATAAGCCCACTTTATAAGAATGAATGATTTACCAAATCAACCCCTTATATTTAATTAGTCTATTTTGATCACAAAATTAATTCCTGGTCAATACTAATTAAATAATATGATTTCATATTAATATATTAGAACTTATAATATATTAATAAACCATAAATAACCTCTTCTCAATTATCCATCCTTCAGATTGTTCCGGTGCCATGCAACCCAAATGGACTATGCTACTCTCGGGTCAAGTACATACCAATAATAGCTATGGGCTTAGAAACCTAATCCAACACTATGGTGGTATGTTGTACTTGTACATGGAGAACCCCATGCGAAGTGCAAGCTCTAATATCAGCCATGAACTACTACAATATGAGATCCCACACACTACGATGATAACGAACATGCTGAAATACGAAGACACTTCTGACCCAGATGACCATATTGACAACTATGAGTCGACGATGACATCTCTTAAGATGCATCGTCGCTTCACCTACACCTATTTTCCCTACACCCTAACGGGAAACGCAATAAAATGGTTCAAGTCTCTAAGACCAAGTAGTATTTCGAATTTTGAGCAACTGAAGTTCATTTTCCTTAACAATTTCATGCAGTTGAGGAAAGGAAAAAAGGGATTCCAACTTTGTGATGTCGTGTAAGCAAAGAGAATGAGAGTTGATTTGTACCTACTACGATTGATTCACATTAGCTACCTTGAACGTCCCAGGACATGAAGAGTTCCGTGTGATGGGCGCCTTCACTCAAGGTCTGCTTCTGGGGCCTCCTATCTAAGAAGATGCAAGGGATAGTCCCAGATCCAGGGATGGGCTCAAGTTCTGAGTGGAAAACTACCTGATACAAATTGAAAGAGAAGAGAGAAAGGAGGCCAATCTCAAAGTCGTAGCCAACACGTACATCAAACAAGAGGATGCGGCGTCCTGACCAAGTTGAACTCACCTGGAAAGGCAAGAGGGTAACCAACACAAACACAATCTCCACTTTAGACACGTGTCAAGGAGGTACAGGCCATTTAACAAAGATAACAACAGGAATGGTCATGCAGATTTCCATGCAATCAACAAATCTCCATCAAAGGAAAGAAATGAAAAAAACCAAGTTCTGATAGTACCACAAGAGCAAAACTCATCATACCATGAAATGCACGGTGTTGAAACGGGAGAGAGATGAGAAGCGCCTGGTTGGAAACATAGTTGACATCGCAAAAGAGCTCAGAACAAAATTTGATGAACAAAAACACTAGCCTAGAAATAAAAAAGATGAGGGGAAAGGGCCATGATAAGAGGCCAAAGATACTAACCATCACTGGGCCTCGCCCATGCAGCGGTTGTCAAGGCCAACAAGCCAGCACAACAGTATACAATCAAAACATGCTTAACATAGCCTTTTCAACAAATAATCCTAGACCAGGACATTGGGATCCGAATGACCCATCACACATCATAATGTTCATTTGTCAAAAACGTATCAAGCATGTATACATTGATAACGGAAGCAGGGTCAATGTAATCTATGAGCACTGCCTTTGGCGGATTCCTATCTGGTGGAAAAAGTATCTCCAACCATCATAACAGAGCCCGCTAGTTGGGTTTACTGGTCATGGCATCTAGCCAGCAAGCACAATCATGCTCCCATTTACACTAGTTAGTCATGATGGGACGCAGCTGATAATGAGAGTACTCGAGTTCTGGGTCGTTGACTGTCCGGTAGAACATAATATCCTACTGGGCCGACCCGCACTCTTTTAACTGCAAGCAATTTCGTCCACCCTCCATGGCATTCTCAAATTCAGCACAAGAGATGGTTCGACGGCGGTTGTAGCAACAAGGCCACATAATGAACGCAATATCCAACAGGAAACAAAGCAGGAAATCAAATCGCATCAAAGTGAAAGTTTTCAAAAAGTATAGAATCGACAAATGAGACCAGTGGCGGCAGAAACGCTGGCCAGCAAGTCAAGGAAAAGGCACAGAGATGCATTCAGACGACTTGCAATATCCCAGTCATAGAAAGAAGAAAACACTGATCCAAAGATAGTTCAGCCAGAACCAGGAGAAAAATCGCAAGACATGGGAATGCCTACTCGTGGGCAGGAGCCAATCCAACCCGCAATCAGTGGCCAAGCAATGCCCAGGCGAAGAATCATTCGAGACTCGTATCAACTCTTCACCGGTCTTGAAGATGAACATAACCACATTGGGATGAAGAATCCAGGCACTGGTAACAACACAGATAGTAACGGAGGATCAATCACTCTAGCACACAAGCTCCACTGTAGAGAGGAACCAAGCAGGGTCTCTGATGATAACAATAAAACCCCGAATAACCGTGCAAAATGCAAGATTAATTGGTATGCATAGAAAAGGGCAAGCGACATTCTCACCCTGTCAATGGGAGACACTCCCCAAGGTCACAACACATATAGGGCCAAGGAAAAGGGGAAGTGTGAGCGCCATCAGAGCATGGAAGATGAAATTCGGTTCTTTCACACCCAGTCGAAAATTAAGGAGGCACATACTGCCAGTGTTAAAGAAAAGAAACAGTAGAAATATCACACCATTTTCAAAAACACAACATTTAATAGGACAGGTTGCAACCTAGACGCCCCAGATAGTTCGACGGGCGGTGATGGGAGAAAATCACACCAAGACCCGATAGTGGAAACAGAAATGAACCCCAAGTTAGCAATAAACACTTGGAGGAAATGAGAAAGGGACACACGACTATGATGAGGCAGCCATTGCAGAGTGCCCGAAAGAAAATAAAACAAAAGCTGAGAAAATAGAGTATTGTGACAACCCGAAATCTCTATCCTATAAAGCCAATCTAATCAATCATTAGTCAGACTTATTTATGTTACCTTTTGCTATGTTAAGGGTCAATTCGATGTGCTAAGGGTCAGTTCAAGGGTCTCTAATCCTAGCACACTTAAGGATTGAGTGTTGGAATGAGTTAGCTTGAGTTCAGTAGTTTACAATCGAGCCTGTAACACCTTCAAAGGTGGTTCACGGCCGCAAACTAGGTTCACGGCCGTGAACCACCCTCCACATATATATATATATATATATATATATATATATATATATATATATATATATATATATATATATATATATGATTCACTCATTTCCTCCTCATTCCTCATCCTTCTGGCCGTGATCATCAAGAAATCCTCTCAAGTATCATCTTTCAAAAGTCCTGCTCTCACTCTAAAATCGTAAGTGATTCATCCCTTTGTTCATACTTGAAACCCCCTTACTTCCATCCTTTGATTCATCACTTTTCATCATCTTTCCAAGACCTTCAAGAGTTCAGGGTCGTGAACACTTCATGTGTTCTTCATGTTCTTGGACCGTGAACCCTTCTTAAGTTTGTGAACATATCATGGGCCGTGAACCCCTTCTTTCCCCTCATTTTCGGTTCTAACACTTCATTGCAAGTTTTTCCTAGATCCTAAGGTTGTTTCCTATGCTTGTTAGTGGTTATAGACACTAATTGTAGGCCTATACGTGTTAATATGTGCTTAATAGGATCTCACCGTACCTGTGACTTCTCTTGGCATATCAATCATCCTATATCATATCTTCAATCGAATCTTCAACATCAAGTGAGTTCATAACCCTATAATCTACCTTTTTAATGATTTTAAATGCTTTTAAGGGGGGGATAAAAGTTTAACACAATCTACATTTTGTTAATATTTACATGTGATATCAATCACACAAAAAGACTTTATCATGCTTTAAATATTGTGCTAACCATAAAAGATCACCAAATACTTCCAAAATGACTTAAAGTCACGTAAACTCTTTTAAATATAGTAAAACTCTTTTAAAAATGTTTTATAAACTCTTTAAACTTATAATTGTCAAAATCATGTTTATATATGTATAGGTATATAAATAAGACTTATAGGACTTAGGACTGATGGATTGCCTTATTTTCTTTTCCTTGTTTGGAAGTGGACTTAAGGAGGAGTTATTTTTCTGAAGGTCATTTCCTTATTGAATATATATATATATATATATATATATATATATATATATATATATATATATATATATATATATATATATATATATAGGAACATAAAAAGTTACCTTAATCCAATACTATCACCTTTGCTTCAAGTTGAGAAAATGGGGTACTTTCATGAGTAATCATGCTAATTAGATAGAACATATAAATTATACAGATGTATAATCTATGAAATCAATTAAGAAATCTATTCTTACTAGATAAGTATACCAGGTTTAAAATACTTTGTTAAGAAAAGGATATAATTAAATCTTTACTTAAACCACTTAAACCAATTATGTGAGATACTACTTCACAGCTTAGCAATATACTTGTTAGGACGCGTTTTGCAACCAGAGTCTCCTGGAGGGAGACCGGGCATTGTGTGTATAGATTTATACGGGAATGAAAATCCCACATCTCGACTGTTAGCTATAGTCCGAGCCGGCAGGCCAAGGGGTGACAAATGTCACATTGTTTCGATGCCAGAAGGTCGTTGTGTTCACACTAGTCAATCAATATCGTTTATAACCTTATCACATATTAACCCTACATAATAATCTTAATTACAGGGTGGTTATTTCAGCAGCAGTGTATGCTTAATAAATACTACTGAATAAATCATTTTCCACAAACAAAAGGAACGGTTTTATTGGATTAAAACTACTTTTACAAACGGAACAATTTTATGGGATTTAAATTACTTTTACAAATGGAACGGTTTTATGGGATTAAAACTAATTTTAATAAATGAAATGGAAGACATTCATCTTATAATTTCATGGAATGTTAAATTATGTCTAAATAGGTTATATGTACAATAACACTTAATCAGAACGGTTTTATGGAATAAAACTACTTTTCAGTTGTAAAGAAGAAAGTATAGGACTTTCTTGAGCAAACTCATTCATTTTCTTGAAACTAAAACAACCATAACTAAATACTTATGAACTCACTAGCGTTAAATGTTGATCCTCTCTTTCAAAATAACTTGTATTCTCAGGAATCCAGTAGATAGATACACTCCCGGAGCTTTTGAGAAGACAACCTAGTACCGAGTTGCGTCTGTTGTCTATTACTATATCTACTTTTGATGTGAATTATCAAATGTTTGAAAACTTATGTAAGAACTTATACATTATTAATGCAATGGTTGTTGTACTTTGGTTTCTATAATGCATGTGTTGTGATACTTGACATAACGTCCTCCGCCCCTAAATGTTTTCGCCATTCCGTTTTGGTGGTGTGACAAGTATGGTCAAACTCCGCATAGGATAACCATACTGCAAGTGCCAGCACGGAGATCAGGTCCGCACCCTGGCACTTAGACATTTAGAGTCTAATGTTTAGTGTTTTTCCTTTTTATAGTCAATATAATTTTTGCTTCGAAAGAGCTTTCCAGAATTCTGTTTAACCAATTGCAAAAACACAAAGTAAAAAGGTTGTGTATATTTTCCAAGTAGCAACAACGACTGATCACCTACACTACTTGAGCAAAATCTATACAAGGATGCAACCATAGGTCTCAAAAAATCATAATCTTTACCATAGGTCTCAAAAAACCATAGGTCTCAAAAACTGGCCAATAATATCTCACAGTTGAGAATGTATAAACTTTAATTAATGGCATGAAAAAAGGGGTTCTAAAAAGATTCATAACATTTCCCCTGAAAATCAGATAGTAAAAGTTCTTGAGGTGATTTTCTTAGCCAAAACGCAGGTAGATAAACCTCAAAGTATATATCCAAGAACATAGGCTGACATTTCGCGAATTAACGTAAGAAACCCGACTGAACATACAAGTCAATGGTTGTCAAAAGCATATAAGCCACCAACAGCGGTTACACGACGTCCAAAACGCACCCTAGAACAATGGAATATGTAGAAAAGAATAACAGTAGAAATGTCAAATAATCCTGGTCTAAGGATATCACTGGTCAATGCAAAATACAGAAAAAGCATTCATATACCAAATACAAAGAAAAGTACACAGTTCTTAGTCGTTGGAAACCAATATCTTTCATTACACATACAATACAAAGGAGTTTGGATGCATCACAAAATAAACAAAAGGGGACAAACAAGAATTAGCCCCAAGAGTCCGAGGAAGTACCTCCCGGACCCGGCCTACGACATAATTGGCGGAAGTTGTCATAGTCCAGCTCCCCCAAACGAAAGTGGCCTGCAAAATTAGTCTCAGCGAGGGAAGAAAGGACAACATCCACATCTTTGGCCTTTTACAAGACACGATCAAGTTTTGTGGTGTTAGATTCACTAGAAGTTGCCAAACGGCTAGCCAACTATTTCCCTTTTCCAGTCCAAGGGCCTCGCACACCTTCTGTAAGCCTTGGATCCTACTGGTAAATTCCTCACTTTCAATAATCTTATCGATTACTCAGACCACGCCATTTTCCAACACCCATTGCAAGTTGCCATGAGCAACAGCACCATCATCCCGGGCATGAGCTAGTTGACGTTGGCACCTGGCCAACTCCCTTGCCAGAACACCCTTCTCTCTAGCTAGAGAACTCACTTGACTTTCAAGTCGCTCCGCTTGGTCTTCCATAGTGGCTACATGATCTTCCAAAGCAGCCTTCTCATAGGACACAATGCAATATTTCTCAGATAGCCTCCGATGATCTACCTCTGAATCACGGAGTTCCCCCCCTCAAGATAGCAACAACATCTTGCAAAGTTTTCAACAGAGTTTCATTTATTCCATGGCAGCAAACCCAGTCAGCGACAACAACCATAAGGTAGAAGTTTGAGCAGCTGCATACTGATGATTGATGGCCATGCGTGCGGCTGATTGGGCCGCAAGCAACTTCATTGTGGCTGGAGGATGGGCATAGTAACTCCACTCCTGAGCGGCAATGTCTTCCAAAAGTAATGAGTCTTTAATAACCACCCAACCTGGAACGTAAGCTTCGGAAGCCAAGGGATGGGACGCAATCCTCATTTTCTCAACAATGTAAGGTGTATCCTATGAAGGAAAGCCTCATGACACGCCCAATGCACCTCTAAGGACAGAACAGGCACCAGGATTAGCCGTGACTGAGTCAATAAATGGAGAAGACGATGTCTCTGAAGAACTGGGAACCACTACTATCTCTTTCCGCCCAAGCGTAGCAAACCCATCACCAAGAACATCCCCAATACCACCAAGAAGATTGGGCACATACATTATGTTTCGCTTCTTTCGAGGACAGAGGCCCACGTCATTAGATTTGGTCTCTTCGTTCGATGACAGAACTATGCGTGCACTTCATTTTCTCCAGATAGGAGTAGTACTTTTTCCTAGTTGACCCGCCACAGGAATATCGGCAGAAGAAGAGGCCAGAGAACGGGCTGGGAAAGTAGCCCCAACACCCGGTTGAGAAGACGAGGCAGGTCCGCTAGAACCAACATGCCCCCTTCTGCGGGGAACAATCCAGCAAGCTCCCACATATGTTTCTCAGATACGGGAGGGGGAAGAGTCTCCACAAGGTCAACCTCCTGGTGATAAAGCTTACCCCGATAATGGCCACGCAAGGCCATCTCTAAGGAAATCTCGTCTTCGGCACCTGCAAATACAAACACCAAGCATGAGAACTCACAGACCAATAAAATACTATGTTCTTATTTTTGTAAAAAAAATGGGCGGGGGGAGATGAGTGAATACCATCTCTCACGATGAATAATTGTGCCATCTTCCCACGCGCCCTCCAGGCAACACCCATGTCTGCTACAGCAAGGATGAAATCTTTCTAGTTCTTCCCACTAACAATAATGTTTCCCAGCCATTTGCCAAGAACTAGGTTATCCCCGAATAGCTTGGGAAGAGGTTCGGTAAAGTCTCGAGTATTACGAAACCCGTGCCCCACAAGGTTTTGGTTGACCCAGAGCCATTGTCTCTGCTAATTATTCTTCGGATTATCTTGCTCAGAGATCAATGAATGCCCTACCTTTTCACCAGTGTGCGGAAGCTAGAGTTCGTAGACACATAAAAGAAGTAACTGAAGACCCAACAAGTGGGTATACAACTGAGGGACCGACAGATCAGTTCGAAGCCCATGATCGTATTGACAGCACTTGGGGTTAGTTCGTCAATAAAAAAGTTTTAGTGGTGCACAATCATATCAAAGAAGTCAGACATTGGCAGGCGTAACCCCGCCTCGAATAGAGGAACAGGAACTTTCCCTTGAGGGCAATCATAGTTCGATGATCCCTTCGTCGGAATCATCAGGCCATGCTCTGGAAAGAAACCAAATTGTTCTTGCGGTAGTTGAAATTCCTCTATGGTAGGGACTCTGCCGTAACGATCCATCGTTAAGAACGGATGAGTGATGAAAAAGAAAAAATCACAAAATGTCTGTGTCACTACAACAAAAGCAAGAAAAGAAGGCAAAGGTGAAAGGTCTTGAATAAAGGGGGATTTTAAAGGTAAAATTGGTGTCACGAACCGTCTCATGATGGATCTGACACATATCAACGACGCTGTCTAAGTCTGTCGAATGCCAGAAATAATCTCAGACATACACGTGTTGAAATGTAGGCTTAAATGGCGACACTAGCAAGCTAACACATACGCTACAAGCCTAAGGGACTTGTTAATGTATCCCTCATGAAAAACATTAAAAAAGAAAAGTCAAACTAGGTTATCCCCGAATATCTTAGGAAGAGGGTCGGTAAAGTCTCGAGTCTTACGAAACCCGTGCCCCACAAGGTTTTGGTTGACCCAGAGCCATTGTCTCTGCTAATTATTCTTCGGATTATCTTGCTCAGAGATCAATGAATGCCCTGCCTTTTCACCAGTGTGCGGAAGCCAGAGTTCGTAGACACATAAAAGAAGTAACTGAAGACCCAACAAGTGGGTATACAACTGAGGGACCAACAGATCAGTTCGAAGCCCATGATCGTATTGACAGCACTTGGGGTTAGTTCGTCAATAAAAAACTAGCGCCAAGCTTGGCCTAGTTAGAGTCTGGTCATACACAGTCTGAGGCCAAGGTCGGGCCTCCGCCCGCATGGACTCACTGATATGGCGGTTAAGCGGCAGAACTACGCCTTACCCTCTTCTCCCCTGGAAGAAATACCCCAAAAAACGTGGAGCCAATCAGAGAGCTCCACTTGCCTATCTGACAACAGCCATGATCATCATTATATGAAGATCCCCCTCTAGCCAACGGGGGAATGAGATAGAAAGACGTGATGGAGGATCCTTCAATACGGGTCCGCCATGTCTCGTCTCACGAGGAAAGGCTCAACAGGATCAGTTAGGAGGCATGTGCCTCTCGATTAGGTATAAAAGAACCCTTCTTCCCCACAGAGAAGGGGGTTGGACTCTTTTTCTCTCAGACATTCTCTATCTTCTCTCCGAATCAATTCTAACTTGATTGTCGGAGCTTCGTCCTAGGAACCACTCCCGGACGCTGTCTAATGATCATATCTTTTCTTTGTACTGTGATATCATGAGAAGGAACCAACTTAACGCCCACCCTTAATCTCAATCTTACCATCTCCGACATATCACAACAACATATATATACAAAATAATTATGAGATCCAAAAGATATAATTATCAAATATAAATTTAAATGAGTTTATATGGGAAATCACTCAATAAGAAAGATAAAAGATAAAATATCTAAGGTTAATGTGTTAGTGAGCTGTTAATATTCATCCAATAGCCTTGATTAAATTCGGTTACCTCGAACTTGTAATCGTTAATCTTTCGAGAGTTAGAAAGATATGTATAGATCGATACGGGAACTGATACCCCCACATGTGATTGCTAGCTACAATCTCGGCATGATACTTTCTTTTTAATCACTATTCAGCGTCCAATGAAGTGTCGTGGTGGGGAAATAACTAGTCAAACAACGTCAATTATGGGGGTTCATGATAATACATTACAAACACCTTAGAGATTCAACTACCAAGAGAGACGTTTTAGAGTGGTAGATAAAATACGTTAGGATTAATAAAATATCCTAAAAGATAGTAAATTAGGATCGGTAATATCCTAAAAAATAATAAGATATGATCGGTAAAAATCCTATAAAGATAATAAATTATGATTAATAAAATATCTTAAAAAGATAGTAAGCTAGGGTTGATAAAATATATTAAGAAATTTTTTGTCCCTAAGAGAAAAAGATATTCTTGATTTAATACAACAAAATAAAGCAGAAAACTATAAAAACATGTAAACTCACTAACATTATGTTAACGTTTTCAAAATATATGTATTGTATTCTCAGGGAGATGAGTGTGGAAGATAGTCGTGCCAAGGACGAGATCTTCAAGGAAGCTTGCTAAAGTTTATTTCCGTCGGTTTGTCATTCCTAGTTATGTCCAAAACGTATGCTTGATCTATTAAACAATATAATCCCAAATAAATTATAATAAGTAAAAGTATTGTTTGTGTTATACTTTTGTGTTATGCTCTCTCTCTCTCTCTCTCTCTCTCTCTCTCTATATATATATATATATATATATATATATATATATATATATATATATATATATATATATATATATGTCTCGATTTAGTTATCCCTATGTCACACAACCCGGCGTTTCCACCGCCGGCCGGGGGTGTGACAGATTATCAGTGTGTTATAAACTTTATACAATTTGTGAAAAATAGATAGATAAGTACTCTTCATTTTTTTACCATACAATTATTTCAATATAGTTGGATATTTCAATCCCGATTTGATCTAATGATCATGCTCTTACAAAAGGTGAAAAATGATCATAGGTAAGTCCTCAACCGTGACAACATTGGTTAATGCGACAAATTTTGTAATTCTCTCATCCAAGGTGAAACAAGGTAAGAAGGGACTTGTTCTATATTTTTGGTCTATACAAAATACATGAATGTCTTGAATATAGCACTAGAAAGCTTATAAATTCTCATCCTATTCAGCTGTCTTCCGTAGACATCCATTGGAACTAAAGATCAGAAGGGTTCCATTGTTTATATATTATTATTAATTGCAGCACTAGAAGCTTAAAACAGTTGCAATTCGCAGCATTATGCACTAAACATTTGGCATTATTACGGGACAGAAATATGCACTAAACATTTGACATTATATGGAATTTGCAGCGTCATATTAGTTCTAGTAACAAGTGTATTTTTAATTGCGTGTTAGAATATATTATATAATCAAAAAATAACAACCACCAAATAATGGTTTTCATTTAATTATTTTCTCCACCGCTCATCGCAGAGACAGTTTGGCCCATTCAACATATCAACCATCTTTTGCCAGCTAAACAATTAAAGAAAATGAACTGGAATTGCTCTTTGAGTGTGAAGTGTGTGATAGAGATATAGATTATAATAAATGGAATGCTTGATTTGTCATATCTAACAGTTGTATACCGAATCTACAAAACAATTTAATCCCTTTTGAATATTCTCAATAATTCACACAAATCGACGTTTGCTGCTTTTCTTGGTACGAATAACAGCACCTCCACCCAACAACATGGGTCAACCACCAATAAAGGCACTGACTTTGACCTTTCAAAGAACAGGTTTGACCCATTTCAATTAAGATGTGTTTGGTCATCATCATAATCATCATCATCATCATCATCATCATCATCATAATGCATCTTAGTACAACTCCCAAACCACCACCACCAATATTGGTTAGCCACATTTCAACCTTCAACATGTCAAAACTTTACTATATATGTCACAAAAAAAATTATCTTCAACATTTTGCTCCAATTTCTTCAAGCTTCTTACATATCTGCTTACTATCGGGTCTTTCAGAAGGCCCACAGCACACCAATGCCAGATCAACAAATTTGATAATAACATCTTCGTTAACACGACTTAATCCTTTAAGACATATATCTGACATCCTTCGATCCATCATTGCATTTCTTATCGAGTTTTGCAAATAAAAATCTTGATCGGGGTTTGCTTTCCCATTAATCGGTTCCTTTCCCGTTACTAATTCAAGTAAAATCACCCCAAGGTTATGAATATCACTTTGTGTACTTGAATCTTTCATTTTAGTCAACTCGGGTGCTTTGTAACCCTCAACAGCAGCATCTTCAAGCATTTCTTGTGATGCGGCTGGATTCAAGAGGAGATGAATCCCAAAATCGGATATGAATGGGTGATGATTTTTGCCCAATAATATGTTTTTTGATTTGAGATTTCCATGGATGATTGGTTTCTGAAATCCCGTGTGGAGATAATCCAAACCTCTAGCAATGCCGATTGATATTTTTAAAATGATTTCCCATTTGTGAGACTCATCATTCTCATCTGCTAAATTAAAAATTAAATCGAGGTTAAAGTGAGAAAAGTTAACACGTTTGACATTTTGAAAAGCTAAATTTTGTCAACAAATTGATATGATGCGTTGTTATATAAATGGGCAGCATGTGAGCTGTGAAGGAGATTAAATATACGAAGATAATATGATAAAGACAAGGATCTAAAATAGATGACTAAAATGACCAGGCAAACCCTACTCACATGCTCTTATTTCCAATCAAATATAAAATAATTTCACTATATAAGTAATAATTAACCCCTACAGACAAATTTTGACTTTTTATGGTCAGCAAAGTTATATTAGATTATAAAATTAGTCTGCAATTAGGATTCAGAAAGAACAAGGGTCCTGTTTTATACAATTAGTCTGCAGTTTATAATCTTCCAATGTATCAAAAAAAATCTTGTTGATTTTGACACAAATAAATAAGTCATGTTGACTACTATTTGAAGTGTGCAATAACACACAACCTTGACCTAATTCAAACAAACATATGATAGAAAACAAATATGAAAATCAAAAGCAAAAGCAAAAAGGTGAAAGAAACAGATGATGCAAAAAATCCGTAAAGTTTGAATCTTTACCAAAGCAAGGCCATGTACAACAACAATACACGCACATAATAGTTGTACAGTACAACCATTTAACTCATTTCCATGCATAAACTGCTACTTGCAGCTTTTTCTCTCATGAATTTTTAATTTTCTTCTCCTTTTTTGTCAAGATTATCATTACCCAAAAGGCGCATCATTCATTCAAAATTATAAAGAAACCCCAAAAGAAAAAAATCGAATCTTTTTTTTTTTTTTTAATCATGCACACCAAGAAACTAAAAGATAAAATAAACGAAATTTTGTGTAGAGAAATTCGAAATCACCTCTGATAAACTGAGCCAAATTTCCTCTTCTGTAAAAGGGATGAACGAAGAGCTTTTCACCTCGAGGCCCAGAATAAAACCCAGAAAGAGGCACCAAATTTGGATGCCGAATCGACCCCAAAACTTGTACCACATGCATCACATCTTGTACCTTCCCAGTACAACAAGCTGGTCTCAAGAATCTCAACAACAAAACCGAATCACTCAACAAATTTGCTCTGTACAAAGTCCCATAACTTGATTTCCCAATCACTTCACCAGGAGCATCTAAAATATCAAAACAAGTGAGATCTTCACCACCTTCGAACCGAATCAAATCCCCTTTCATGTCCACTTCTTCAGCATCAATTTCTTTACATTCAGGGTTCGCTTCTTTATCCCATGATTCCTCTCTTGCAGACACTTTTCTTCTACACAACCAAATCAAGAAAATGAGAACAAATAACAGAAAAGAAGAGGATAGTGTGACAACCAGTATGAGTATGTTTTTCTTCTCCATTTGGGTCTGAAGAAAAATAACTAAAGATTGTTGTGGAAGAAGATGAAATCGGATCTGGGTCGGGTTGTAAGGTTTAAGTTTCACCCATTTTGGTGATAAATATTATAGAAGATCTGGATGGAGGTGGAGGTTAGTGTTTGATGTTTTGTGAAAGATGAACAGAAGTAAGAAGGACAAAATGAATGGGAAAAGAAGCTTTTCTTTCCTTCCTTTTTTTGAAGAGCAGACAGAGAAGAGAAGAAGATGTGGGACATAGTCAATGGAATCATATCATTTTTCTAGGTACATTAAAGAACCCTCTAAATATTTAATATTTACATTGTCGAAACACTAAATACTTTTTTTTATAAGTTGGAATATTTAATTTCTCATTAATTAAACTACGATGTTTTTAGTTAACTTTCAAGAAATTAATTAAAAAAAAAAATTATAGTTTTTGAAAAATGATTAATTCCTTTGGAATATCACATCCAAAATAGATGAGAACTCTCTCCTATATCGAAATGTCATTTTTAAAAATCCGAAAAAAAAAAAAAAAATGAAACTCAAAGTTTAGAGTTTTAATTCTATGAACCATGTTAGTTTCATATATGCAACTACTTAGATTTTATATCTATCATTGCGAAAAGAATCTCCAAAATATAGAGAACATTGAGAAATTAAATATCTTTCTATTTTTTATTCCTACAAATCCTTCTACCCAATTAAATAGTGATATTTGTAACATTTCATGCTCATTTCATGACATTTTAATATATTAATATGACACATGTCATCATTTAATTGAGTATGAGGATTTGTATGAACAAAAGTAAGAGGATATTTAATTTCTCATCCTGATTAGGTCTAAATTTCAAATTTCTAGTAGTTTTTATTTTTGTTAAATTTGTCAATAATCTTGTTGTTAACTTGTGTGTATCCCAAATACCTTTAGAAATACATCATGGAATACCACGAAATGCCTGAAATGATATGGTATTTTACGAAATGTGTTCCGAAATTAGATGTTTTGTTCCGGGATGCCAAAAAAGGTGATTTGTGGTTGCAGTTCACAAGTAGTAATCGTCAATTTCTAACCCATGTTGCAAATTTTAATGTTGTTTTCGATTCATAGCAAATTGTTGTTATTCCAGAGGTGATAAAGTCAAAGTACATGTTGTAGAAATTGATTCAAGATGCCAAAAAATACGAAATCATGTTCTATGCTTCTTGATATTTTTCATCTTGATGTTATTTTTAAAAATTTATGTAACATCCCAAAACTACTAAGTAAAAAAAAATTCTTTAAGTCAGCCCAAAACAATCAATCATTCAATCTAAAATCTCATCAAAGTATTAAAACATGTCATATTGTTATCTGCGTATAAATACAATCATAAAATGTGGAACATTGGTGGTTGCTTCATGCAATGTAATCACATCGAGCTCTTCCATTTGGAACAAAAAGTACCTGAAACAACAAATATGAATCGTAAGCACAAAGCTTGTTGAGTTCCCTCAAAATACCATATACAACATACATATAAACAGGCCCCCACCCAAGCTACATAACAGCCCCCGTCCAAAATGATATATAACGGGCCCCGCCCAACTAATCGGGCACCACCTATATAATCAGGCCCCGCCCATATAAATCACACAAACACATGCAAGAGTCACAAATATAGCTAGCATCCTACAAACATAATACAATGGGCCGACATTCGTGCCTTCAACCCATGAGTATTGTGAAGAGACTCACCTCGATCGGTAAAAAAATAGATCTCACACATGAGCCGCTGGTGCTAAAGTCTCTCCCACTAAACATATCCAAAAACCAAACCCTAATTAGAAATTAAGGTAAATACCTCAACTCAGCAAGTCCAAATACCAAGGCTAATCTGTATTTTTGCAAAATACCATTTTTCCCTTCTAGGTCCTATCCCTTACAGTTGACCAAAGGTCAAACTAGTCAAAAAGTCAACGATCAACCTTTCATTGACTTATGCGCGACGTACACCTAGCTCGAGCAGGGCGTAGAGCTTTAACCAAAAAAATGGGTTAAAACCAGGATGCGTTGGGCGTAGCCCAGATTATGCCCCGCGTACGGTGCCTTTTTCCAAACTTCACATTGAGCACTTAATACATTAAGACCTTTCACTCAAAGCTCAAATCTGACCCTAATGAACATTATAAATTATAACGTCTCCAGCTTTATGACTTTGCATGGCTAAATAGAGCTTAAATCCAAAACCTTAACTAATTACTCATCCTTATGTTACATATCTTATGCATGGATGGAAGGAAGGGATCAAGATTGCATTTTTGTGACTTAATACACCCCAAAACGCGTAGAAAATGCTGCTTACAAGTTCTGGAGTAGTTCGTACCCAAATGGACCAAAGAATATGGGACAAAAAGAACATAAACTCATAAACGAGCAAGATGTAGCAAAACATTCATCAAGGTTCAAACTTTATACCTTCTAAGAATGGACAAAGGGATGAAAGATCTGGACCCACATGCTTGAGTGCACCATAGCTTCAACTATGGCCTTCCTTCACTATCAAGATACACAAAAATCACTCAAAAGCTCTAAAATTATCTCCAAGGGATTAGGGTTTCCAGATATGGGTTGGAGGGAATAGAGGGTGGTCATAAGAAGGTCCTCAAAGAGTTAAATCTTTAAATAGGGCTCAAAGCCCATCAGTTAGGGTTTTCATCCTACGCAATTGCACCCTACGTAACTTGGGTTACACCTTACATAGGGCATAAAACCCCCACGTCGGTTTAATGAACTACACCCCACATAGTTGACTATTTACGCTTCATATAGACCCTTAATTCCCAAAAATTTAAACTTTAAAGATCAGAAGGAAATGATTACAATTTGAACCTTGTAGGTGTATGTAGTTTGTTGTACATTTTGTGGAATAGTGTTGGTTTTTTTGGGTAAAAAATGGGTTTTTTATACCTTGACATGTAATCAGTAAGATCTGGTCTTATTGTAATGGCACTTCATTTTTGTGTTAAATGGAATGTGTATTATATTGGTATACTTGTTGATACTTGCTACAAACTGTGTATAGTGGTTTATAATGAGTAATGGTCATGATTACAAATGATAATTACCAATAATCTGTTCTTAGAGACCATTTAACATAAAAAGTACCAAAAGTGCAGTAGACATTCAGTGTTGATAATTTAGTATGAAAGCGTGGTGCACTGATTAACCAATTCAAGTTTTCAATGTAAAAAAACAATAATAGATCATTTGTAAGCAATAAGAATACAATGCAATGACAACACACATAATGTTAAACAAAACATACCATTATATTAACTAAGCCGATAAAATGGATGGTTTGCAATGTGTTTAATAGAGCATGCCATAAGTTAACTATCATATCATACCATCATACTACAAATGTTTAAAATACTAACAAAAGATAACCAAAATCATTCTTTTTCAAACCAATATACAAACATAAAATATAACTACCCTAACATACCAAACAACACCCTATAAACTTAAAATTTCACCCCTTACTGTTATGGTCCCTTTGTGCTCCACATCCTCTAGCATGATTAATGTTCACTTGGTCCTCCTTATCCTACAACTTCTTGAGTTGTGTCCTATGTAATGGAATTTTCTACATGTGAAAATGAAGTACATCATTGAAAATGTAGTTAAATGACTTGCAGGCTGACTAGCTTGGGTAGTTGTTTTATCCTCACCTATTATCCTCTTCTTCTTAGGTATTTCCACCTGGATGTATCAACATAATAATTCACACTGATAAATTTACCAGCAATAGTCGGTTTAAATACCTTGACAGAGGTTATTTTCTGGGCACTCCATGTCTACTATTTAGGTTGAGCAAATTCAAGATAATAATCGATTAAATCTTGATCAACCTTTGGGTGAGGAGAAGGGACTTCAACCGTTGGATCAAAACAATGGAACACGAATGCCCTACAGGTGATGGGCATGTCAAATTGAGAATCCATCGTGTTTTCACAATCAAACGAGGCAACAGGTTCCAACCAGTGAATACTGGGAGACTCAATCACTTCTTTTATTAATCTCTCTCGGGTCCAAGTGGGAAAGAGAGCCTACTTGCAAACCCGAGCATCATGAGCTTCATTTTGTTTTCACTCTTTCTCTTCTTCCTCTCTGGCTATTCTCGAATTTTCATCAATTTCATTATCCTTTTTTTCCTCTTTAAAGCCTCAACAATTGTTTCTTCTTCATCATCATCACTATCTTCTACAACACCCTTCAGTTTTTCCTAACCAGAACCTGAAGCTACATTAACCTTCGGTTTGGTTTAGATAATGATTTTGGATAGAATAGGAGGATTTTGAGCTTCTCCCCATTGTTGCGGAGCGACCACGGGCTCCGTAACACCCTGAATCTGACTCAACATCTGAATAGCAGGAAGAAGTTTGGCAGTCCAGTGATTATGGATAGTAAGGGTGAGAACAAGATTATGAGCATTAACAAGATTATTGAGAATCGAGAGAACATCCCCAACACTGCTTTTAAGAATTGCCCGCTCAGTCTTAAGGGATGCAATCTCCTTCTAGGCTTGAGCAAGAAGAGCATACTGGACTTCAACTTGTGTAGTCTTTTGACCAAGTTCATCATCAATCTTGTTTTCCATGGCCAAGTCAGCCTGAAGCTTATTAAGGCGAGAGTTAACCAAAGTGAGAAGAGAATGGTGATCTGCTTGAAGTTTAGAATGAACAGAATCAAATTTCAGTTTTTCCTCTTGGAGTGACTTAGAGAGGGAATCTATAGAAGCATTAACTTTGACTGCATTGGAATCAACATGGCATTTGAACGAGTCCAGAAATTTTTTTGATTCTTGAACAAGTTCTGTCACTTCTGATGTTACTTTCTGGCAGGAAGATGCGGAGGCTTTTACAACATCTGTTGATTTGTCGATAGAGGTTGTATATTGCTGAAGAGTAGTATCAAGAAAAGCCTTCAGCACCACATCAGAGTAAGTTAACGGGGAAGCAAATAATTTGTCAAGCTTTTCATGAAGACTCTGTAAATGTTGCCTTGTCACCGAAGCGTCATCATCATCTTCACTTAGAAGCCGGTAAGGACTATAATAAGTGAAATCAAATTCAAAGTTTGCACCTCCCGAAAGTAGGCTCAAAGTTTGTTGAAGGAGATGATGAGGGAGATTTGGTGGTAACTGTTGGGTTTTGGTATAATACAACATCCTAAGGTGCACATACAACCCCAAATACCTTGGATCTATGTTTTCACTAATTATACATGCAAATGGTTTCCAAGGCATTAAACCTATAACTAGCATGCATTTGACATAAACCATATAATATACTAGTTAGGGAAACATACCTTTTATGTGGCTTGAAGTCTTGATGTATTTGGCCTTAAGAGCTTAGCACCAATAGTATGAAATGCCTCAAATGGAATCACAACACACCTAGGACAAAGGTGGCTCTTGAGAGAGAATTACATGCACCAAAACACCTCCATATTTCTCTAAGAAAAGAAGTGGTGATTTTGACTATGGAGTAACCTATTTATATGTAGGATTCCAAGGGTCATGGGTATCACCCATAATCCATACCTATAGGTTTTATGATCCATGATTCATGTGGCCCAACTCTTTATGTATTCATACATAAACTTGGTCCAACATGGATCATAAGCCCAACACATATAAATATAAATAATTATCATAATTAGTCCCCATAGATTTAATTAGTCTCTTTTGATCACTAAATTAATTCCAAATTAATTCTTGATCGATACTAATTAAAACATATGATTTCATATTAATATATTATAACTTATAATATATTAATAAACCATAAATAACCTTCTCTCAAAAGTCCATCCTAACAAATTGTCCTGATGATATGCAACCCAAATGGACCATGCTACTCTCGGGTCAAGTACATACCAATAATAGTTATGGGCTTAGACATCTAATCCAACAGTCTCCCACTTGGATAAGTCTTAAACTATTATTGCAAGTACGACTTCATAACCCGACTAGCAATCGTAGCTCTTAAAGCTGTTGTCGAACTCTGAACAAATCAATGATGCGTCCATTAGATAAGGTATCATATATTCCTCCATTATAGATATCATATGGACTGATACATGGATTATAATCATTCTCTCTGTCCATTTGTTGTTTCCCGATTTTCGATTTATGACGACTGACTAATTGAA